AATAATGTAATCTTCTGCACATTCATATAGTAGTTGGAGACCACGTTCCTCCGCTGCAATTAATAATTTCAATATGTTAGATCCAGTATAATGGCTTAATTCAATTTTACACGTGTATATAAATCTTTAAAATCAATTTAATTAAATTATTTAAATTATTTTTTTGTTTCAAATAAAATAAAATAGATTATTTATTTTGTTTCAAATAAATAAATTTTAAACTTACTCTAAAATAGTTTTAAAGACCAGCTCACTAATATTTGGTTGCTCAAGTGTGTAATACCCTTTTTGTTTTTTTGCATTAAATAAAGCATCCCTGAAAAATGGACAATGAGCTTGTAGAATGATTGAATGTGCATGAATTTCTTTAATATCAGGTTCCTTCCCTACATAGATTTTGACATCATAGTTTTCTTCCGAGCTCAATAAAATTTCAAGTTCATTAAAATGTTTTTCTGATATTTTTTCATTCATTTTTTTTTTTTTTTCATAACAATTATTGTTATATACTAATTACTAATTTTATTATTTTTTACTGGGTTATCGTTTCTAAAAATGGGTTGGCTTTGTTTGTTGAAATAATATAAATACCAAAAAAAAAATATATTTAATATATATTTCCCTTTTTTGTTTTTTAAATAATAATAATAATAAAATGAACGTTTCAAACAACACTAACACTCAACAAAATAATATTATAACGAAAAAAGTCATGGGCCCAAGATCACCACCTAAAAATAACGCAATCGTTAGCAATAATAATACTAGCATTTATAATAATATGGTTCCTACTACAAGTAATAATAGCATTCATAATCAATATCAAGGACAATATAATAATAATAATCAACATCAAGGTCAACTTAATAATAATCAATATCAAGTACAGTATAATAACAACCAATTTCAAGGTCAATATTATAACAACCAGTTTCAAGGTCAATATTATAACAACCAATTTCAAGGACAATATAACAATAATAATTATCAACAACAACAACAGCAGCAACAACAGCAACAACAACAGCAGCAGCCGCAACAGCAACAGCAACAGCCACCAAATATACCTGATTCACAGCCACCATTTATTCCTGAACAATCATTTCCGCCATTGATGGCTCCCAAGCCTCAAAAACCTTCTCCAATAGTATCAAATGATATTGCTGATACTTTAATGGTAGAAGAAAGTCATAACAAACCAGTCAGCAATAATAATACAAATAATCATAATAACGCTGATCAACAACATAACATGTCGATAAAAAACAATTTGTCAAATAACAACATTGATTTTCAACAAAATCCAAATCATCTTTGGAATATTTAAAGTAATTATCTTTATCTTGCTGGATAGTTCCATTGTCAATATCAGCTGTCCAGCCAACAATAGATAAATCTTCCTTACTATGAGTTACTAAAAACTTTAAATTAGGACTATATTTTATTTCATCAACATCATATCCATTATGTGGATTAATTATATTTTGTTCTTGAATAGAATCATCTTTCATAATTGATATTTTATCTTTTTCTGTATTCAATACTGTTACTACTTCTATAATGTCAATACTATTATCATCATTTGAGTTAAAGTTATTTTCTGCCATTTTTTATTAGTATGTAGTAATAAATAAATAAAAACTTTTTCAATGTGCATGGAAAAATTTGTAAGGGAGAAAAATATTTAATTTTCGATAAAAGAAAGATTTCGTATTAGTATTAGTATTTATATTCACCCGTTCAGATTTTTAAAAAACGCAGTCACCATAATAATAATGGCGTACATCTACACATTGTTTTATAACAGATGAGATTTTTTTTAAAAAAATGAAGCTATCATAATGGCGTACATCTACAGCATTTATTATAGACGAAAAAGAGTATATGCGAATTCATTCGTTCTATGATTGATTAGAATATCTTTATATAGAAAAAGTATATCCGAATTCGCTCGTTCTATGATTATCAGAGCACCTTTATATAGTAACTTGTGCTTTTTTTATAATATATATTGAAATTAGCCAATAAGTTATTTCAACAATTAATTTGAAAAAAATAACATTTTAAAAGGAAACTGCAATTTTCGAGACCAAAGTTGATAATACAAAGTGATTTTTTAAGAAATTAGCGGGACAAAAGAAAGAAGGTTTCAGATCGGTAAGCCTAAATTTTTATCCAGTCACCAAATATGTCCTCTTCTACACGCAGTTTGATTTGCTGTTTGTCTTTTAAGTGTCTCTTTCTGGCTTGTTGGTATTACTTTGAAGAAACTTGCTACTTCATGCACATTGAAATATTTATTTTTACTTATTTCACTTAAATATCTTGTAAACAGTAGCGTTTGATAAGTAGTGTGTAAAGGTATACAAAAACATGTTTTTCTTTAATGAGGAACGAACCATATTCAAAATCATCGATCATCAATTGAAAATTTTCCTGCGCCATAATTGAAAGGGATTCTTTCTGATGTCAACAAAATAATATAATCAGCATCGTATAATTCAAGTTCACATGGATATCTTGGAAATGATTATTGATTATGAAAATCCAATAAATTATCTCTATCTATGGAGATGATTTAACCTATGCTTTTAATTCTTTACCAAGTTCATTCATTATTATTCTTTTTATTACTATTTAGTATTATGAATAATTTTTTGACGATGACATTACCAGTAGTGTGCTGGTGTTGTTGATGTTATTAAAATCGTTGCCGAGTATTAATATTAATGTATATTTACAATAATTTAAATTTTGATTAAATTTTGATTATCTTTTACTTTCATACAAGTCAACCAGAAAAATGTCATTGCAAAATTTAGCAATAATATAATACTATTGCACATAGTAATTGAGAAATTGAAACACATGTTTATTATATATACAATATAGTTATTTATTTTTTATCAACTATTTGAAAAACTTCTAATTCATCATATCTACTGCCATTTGATATATTAATGTCATTGTAGCTATTTGGACTAATAGAAACAGTATTATTTTGATTAAATCTAATATCATGACCACCACCAAAAGTGGGTAAATAATTATTAGTATAGCAATAGATTGCATCTTGACTATTATTGAAAGCATAGCTAAAATAATTTGTAGAATT